AGAAAAGCAGTTCCATCTCATTTTCTGGGGAGATAATGTTCAAAGTGAATCTCACAGTCTCAGAACCAAGACACCCACTTATTAAATTTATAGTTCTTTGGAAACACCGTTATATTTCAAATGGGCAAAATGGGGAAAGATCAGCAGAAATTGGGACTAGAGGTAAGGCATATATACCATTGGCCCCCACCGATACTAGTGCTATATTAGCTAAAGATGCATAGATTTGCTATATAATCGTAATTTCTGTGGCTGCACAGAGGAAGCTGACTCACGTTCCTGGGTGCCAGCGCTGGTTCTGCAGTGTCCATTCCACAGCGACATAGTGACTAATGGAGAGATGTACTCCAGCCTTGAAGAAATTTCATTGGTACAGCACGACTTCAAACATTGCTCCATGATGTAATAAAGTTGTTTTGCACCTGGAACAGATTGGGAAAAAAAAACCCAACCCAAAACAGGACTAGGAGCAGTGTGTTAGTAATCTTTATTATTTGCCCTGATGCTGGATCCAAGCAAAGGGTTTTCCTACTCTTCCATTTGTCTCCTCTTTCCTTTCAATGTTGCATTCTTGTTACCTTGTATAATGTTTAAGGAAGTGTATCCTGCATAAAATACGAGAACCAAAAAACCACACAAAAAGACATATATATTTAAACCATGTGAAATTTGCTAAAGAATACTCCCAGCAAGCAAAACAGTTAATATAATGCTAATATATTAGATGTTGTTGGCAAGCAAGTGAACTCTAATAGATTTGGTAAAACAACAATACTAGAGAAGCCTTCTAGTGTAATTTTTCATCTCAGCACACCTGAGTAGTGTTCTGAAGGCTAATGAGGATTTGGTGTAATTATTCCTTAGGTTGTAATGTCTAAACTAACAAACTCAAACTGATGTGTAATCAAATATATAAAATATACTGTGCCTTTTAATCTAATCTTAAATAAAGTAATATTTCCATTTTATTCTTAGAAGTTAGTGATAGGTCATCTATCACTCTACTTAGGGGAACAGTGAATGGTCTTTTGTAAGGTAGCTGCCTTTTCACATTATCTAAAATGATTGTCGTATTATATCCTTTTTATTAAACTGGGTTTTTTTTCCTTGAAATATCTGCAGATGTAATTTCTTGATGAATATATTTTCCATTTTATTGAATTTAAAGTGGTGTATGAAATGTGTTTTGAAAAATTTTATCTAATAGCAAAAAATTATAATGTCTTATTTAGGACAAGGCAAGGAAGAGTTTTTTTGTGTATTAATTATTTCTGATGCGTAGATGTGAAATGACTGATTATTGTAGGTTTTGCAGAATTTGTTTTATGGGCCTATGTAAAAAAAGTGTTAATATTATATGATGAAAGCTATTAGCAGAAGTGGGAGCATATTATGAGTAATCTTGTAAAAAATAGTGAAGAAATAAAAAATGAGATAGAATTTGTTTGTTCCCTGTATGGAGCTAACCTTTGTGAATGGAAAGCAGAAGGAAGGTTTAAGGTAAACTGTCTAATCCAAATTCGGAATACTTCTTTACAATGTTGTAGAAAAGAAAATAAATTTGTCTTTAAAAAAATGGATATAAGCATTGATGGGAAAATGTCAGGCTAGATATATTTAGTGCAGCTATTTTCACACTTGAGAAGTTGATTTGAACAGAACTTCAGCAATGCCTATCGTAGGCACTAGATGGTGTTTCAACCTTTCCTACGGAAATGCACATCCCGTTCCAGTGCCGCTACCACTTGAGATTCTAGATTTGAACTAGTACTTAGCGTTGGAGAGCAGATTTTTGTCCATATTTTCATTTTCAAATTGGGAGTGTCCCCATGTGAAGAACTGACACGCACAAATTGCAACAGTGACGTTTATGTACAAAATGTGTTCACAACTAATGAAGTCCTTAGGGTGGTGCTCAGGAGAGTTGCAAACGGGTGTAGTAGGTACTGTGCCCGCTCTGGAGTGCAGATTTCTGATATAAGGGATTAACCCTTTTAATTACTGTTTTAGAAGGGAAAATTCTGTGGTTCTTCACAGGTTTGTAAAAACGCGTGTATTGAACACTTGGGTAGTCTCCTCTCCGCTTCTCTGCTGTGCTGCCCTCACAGTCCCATGAAATTCTCTGTCCTGTGGGCACTTGGCAGGGACAGACCTGCTCTGCATGTGTGACCTGCTGAGTGCTCTGTCACAGGCACCTGGGAGCAGGAGAAATCCTGTCCAGGAATATGCCACCTTCCCATCTGTGCTCTTATAATGCTACCTTACAAGCGTGTCTCATTTAATTGAGAGGTCTGCACTGAAAATTACCAGGATTTTTTAAATTGCAAGAATGCTTCCATCGCAGCAATAAGATGGAGAAGCAATTTAGCTCAGTACTATTTGAGGGCTTGTAATTTTTATGCTCACTGAAAGCACATACATTTGTGTCTGTGTGACAGGTGCCATTCTTCTCATTGTGTGTGATTATTTGAATCACATTATGATTGTTAGGGTCAACTCTATGAAATCCTGCCTATTGAAAGTACATTGAAAGTAAGGCTTTATCAGAAGTGTTAGCTGTAATTATCATTAGACAGTCTTAGAAAAGCAGAAAAGATCTGCAAAATACATAAATATATGCACTTTTCATGCAATGTGTTTGAATTTTTTTCAATCTGAAATACTCTAAGTAAATTTTTCAGGAGTCAGGTTATGTCAGGAGTACGCTTCCTGATTCTACTTTTAGATGAGGAGATATGAAATCATATTCATTCACAAGGATCTCTTATTCTGTTGGGTACAAGAGAATAGTACTAATCATCCTGGAGTGCACTGTCTGGGGACAAAATATGGGTGTCAGCCAAGGATTTAGTTGCCCAGGTGTTTTGACTATAATATCTAGTTTTGTGATATTATGACATCTACTAATAGAAATAGCACATGAAAAAGTGTTGGGGATTTTATCTCATTGTCATTAAAGTTGTTACATATTTGTATACTTCAACAATTGTTTTAGATCCGGTCTTTTTATTGTACTGACACATACGTGGAAAGTTTAGAACTTCTTTCAGCTGTATACAAACCAAGCAGAAATACTGAAGCCTTTTAATTGCTATTAATAAAAGAGGGCAAAAATACTTCTGTCTTGGGTGCTGAACTTTCATGTTGGCGTTTTCATGTACTTTCTAACTTAACTAGTAACGGTAAAACAGGCCTGTTCTTGAATTTGTATTTTAATGGTGGCCAGGCCTGAAGAATACACAGTTTTGACCTTTGAATGTCATCTAAGGATATCTAACCTACCTCAGGGAGCAAGCCGCTACTTAGGGAGTCTCTCTCTTTTTTACCCCTAGTGCTTTGATGATTTATTCTGTCTTGTTGATGTAAGCAGGGACGAGTTCTCATAGATGGTATCAGCCCTATACAAAGATTAGGCGGTGTACCAGGATGGGGCATATCACCACCATTAAATGGGCAAGGGTTGCCTTCTTTTCCTGCTTCAGTCTGACAGTTTGTGAATGAAGGAGTCAGTGAGTTTAACTTGAGTATGAATCTTACATCCAGGTAACCCTCTACATGAAGCTCTCATCGAAACATTTTTTGTGAAGTTTGACTAGAGAGCACGGCTGAAATTTTCTACTAGAAAACAGCCTGGAGAATAAGACACAGATTGAGGCTTCTGAAACCTTTTCTGGTGGACTGAGCTAGATGTATTAGGGAGGTAGAAACTACATCTTCCATGTTATTCAACCATGGAGCCAACTACTTTTAAAAGAATAATGAAGAACATTAATGTAAACCCTTGAATTTCCTGAACTGTACACCCTTGAAAAAGAAGCATCTTAGTGTAGGATTAGAACTAGAGACATTATAACTACATTGAATGTTGAGTGTAGACATTCAAGGAACATGTAGTAAAAATGGTACCATTTTGTCTATGAACTTAGACAAAGATACTTAAAGAGCAGAAAAAGAAGAATAAAAATAAAAGAAAAAGAAAGCTAAACTAAGGCTAAAGAAAAATGAAGATTAAGGAGTGAAGGATTAAAGTTGCAGTGAAATAATGCTATCTACAATCAAATTGTAAGATAACACAATAATCAGTTTGAATGTACCATTGTGTTCATGACTGGTGTGTTGTATTTGATTCACTACATCCTGATTTGTTCTCATATAACGTAATAACTGAATATGACATTGACTTACAGATACTTGGTGCTGTCAGTTTGCTGCACTGGCATGTGACTAAGGTGATCAGATACAAAAGCTTTGTGAGCAAGTCGATTTTAGATTATTAAAAAACCTCATTACTATATGCAGAATCTCACAACTGGGAAGGTGTCATAATTTTAATAATTTAGTAAGCATACAATGAAAGGTAAATCTTGGCTATGAAGTAGAGAGATGCATCATCTTATACATTGCGTTACTTTATTTACAAAATTACTTTAATTTAAAATTGCTCTGAAAATTAAGTCACTTCTTGAAGTCAGCTTCTTCATATAAACATAAGATGCAGACCACCGTGGAAGTAAATCAGTGAGCATTTTTGAGAATTATAAAATTACTTGTTTGCAATAGCAGAGGATCTATTCCAAAGTTCCTTACTCAGTGAGAGAATGGATTAAAAGCTTAATGATTTCTTAATTCATTTTTTCTATCATCCTCAAACCATAGTCTTAATTTTTTAGAACTTACATATATTGCCATTGGAATGTCAAGATGTAGAACCTTTTCATTTATATTGCTTCTATCTGTGGTTTTTCCTTGTGTTTCAAATAATGAAACAAGAAAAGACTTAAATTATTTTTGCTTGTAATTTTTCTAAAACAATTTCCTCCAGGGTTGTACAGACATATTTTATAATGTTGTAGCTTAGGTCTTGTAATTTTAATAGAAAGAATTAAAACTGTATTCTTTCTACCTTTGGAAATGGCAACAATCAGTTGATGTGTGCTTGATGAAGATGTTGTATACAGTGTTTACAAGCTAACAGATTTTACATTTAAATGTCTGAACAGGTAATGTGGGTATGTAACTTGTGCCGAAAACAACAAGAAATCCTCACAAAATCAGGAGCCTGGTTCTATAACAGTGGATCACATGCACCACAGCAGCCTGACCAAGAAGGAATTAGAGCTCTGCGAAACGAGGAAGCACCTCAAGAGAAAAAAGCAAAGCTGCAGGAGCATCCTCAGTACCAAGGACCACCAGGTGACATATCCACACAAGCTTTGGACAAAAACAGATCTCAAGGGCTCACAAGACAAGACTCAATTAAGAATGGTTCAGGAGTAAAGCATCAAGTAACAAGTGACACAACATCAGACAGGTAAGAAAGTATTTAATGATTATCCTTATAAGATCTCCTGAATTTATGCTACAAATTTTATTTTATCTTTAAAACTTGTATCTTATTTTTATTCTGTAGCCTCTAAAAATACATGCTGGGCATTTTGAAGCAACAGTTGAGGAGTCTTTTGTTGGTTTCAGATGGTCATAGCCAATGTGTGGTATTCATTCCTTCTTATTGAAAAAAAACATGGAACATGGCAGTTGCAGCGTGACAGAGCTTGTCCAGGTGCTTGCAACTTTGTCAAATCATAGTCATTGTGCTATGTTACCATATTTCTTTTGTGGTCACTAACTTTATAGCAAAAAAACTGTAATAATCCAAAACAGAACTCAAAAAAGCAGGTTAGTGGAAGATGGTGTCCGTTCAGACTACTGAATTAAAATATCTGGTTGTGCTTGCAATAAACAGTATTGAAGATGGTGAAATCCTTGTGTAATGACCTGAGCCTCTTCATGGTTTTTTAGTCCCTTGCTTTTAGTTACTGTCATTAGTATGAAAGTTTTTTTCTTCACTTGTTTGTGTTAATGCTACTTGGCATTGGTTGAAACTGTGACTCTATTGGCACTAATGTAGTAAGATCTGCTTGAACCAGAGGCTGGAGGTGGAATTCCCTCCCTTTTTCTTGAGGTGATTGTACCAAAAGGCACCAGAAGGCTCTCAACCTCTGCAGCTACATTTTACTGAAACATGAAAGTAAAAGTTGTTTCATTGAATAAATTTAGTTTCTTCTTAAACAGGACTGTAATAGATCTTTAAATATGGTGAGAAGCAAAAGAAGAGAGCAAGCTTGCTCACGTGTTTCCATACAAATGATACCCTCACGTGCACATGAGAGAGAGACCTCCAGCTGCCTTGGAATTTGGCCTCCAGAGCAGTGTAATCTGGCAGCATTCCTCTGCTGCCCAGCTATGACCTCATTACAGTATTCTGCCAGCCTGAAATAAGTTAGACAGATATCTTTTACAGCTAATATAATTAAAATAGTTTTCTTTTTTCCTCATGTCTTGTATTCCACCATATTTTATTTCCTACTTTTGGTCTTATATGGAAACAGATCTTTTTTGTTTAACTTTTTCTGCTTACTGCCCTTTGCTCTGGTTTCAGCTGATGGGTTCAGTACGTAGTGGCTCTGAGTGCTACTCAGTTATAGGTGTAGTGTCTGAGAGGTACAGCTGGCACCCTAACTTGATGCTAAGGAGCAGGAGGGAGAGACAGATTCTCTTGTTAATAATGTGATGATAAAAAACTCTTGCTCTTGTTCTCAGCAACAGTTTAACTCTAAAAATGTTTTTATATTATGCATGCAGAATTACAGAGTGAGACAGGGATATATGAGTAAAAAATTCATATATGCAAGATGCATTTACCCGAAGTAGAGTTTTATGATAAACAGAACAGTATAAAGTAATAATTGCCAAGAGGAAGAATGTGGACTTTATGCCTGAAATCAGAACTATTCTGCTGATTGTGATCACTTCTACTCAACATATTGTTTAAGTCCAGATCGTTTTTTCAGTCATTATCCTCTTCCTGTTTTATTTGGATAATAATACTGATGTTCCCTAATTAACATATTCAAGTGTGCTTAGAATCTGATATATATTACATGCTACTGAAGGACAGAGAGTCTGCTGAATATTTTTTTCCCTAATGTTCCTTACATAAAGTCTTTTTTTTTCTTTTTCTGGAGATAATGAAAAAGATTCCACCATGATGCCCAATGAACATCTTACTGGTCAAATGGGTTTTTAGAAGTGAACATCAATGTCTCTGAGAGAGGCTATCCCCGAATTCAAAGATGGGGATAAGGCTTAAGTTTGGATCTCTGTATGCTGTTCTCAACAATACTGAAAGACTTACTATTTGTGCTGATTTTGAGGTTGGGGTAGAGTTAATTTTCTTCACAGAAAATTGGTGGTATGGGGCTGTGTTTTGGATTTGTGCTGAACACAGGGTTGATGATATAGAGATGTTTTTGTTATTGCTGAGCAGTGCTTACACAGAGCCAAGGCCTCTTCTGCTTTTTGTACTGCCACACTGGCAGTTGGAAATTGGGGTGCATGTGAGGTTGGGAGGAGACACAGCTGGGACAGGTGACCCAAATTGACCAAAGGAATTTTCCATAAACATCATGCTCAGTAAATAAAATGGAGGGAATAAGAAGGAAGGGGGGATGTTTGTAGTGATGGTGTTTGTCTTCCCAAGTACCCATTGCATGTGACCGGGCCCTGCTCTCTTGGGGGTGGCTGAACACCTGTCTGCCCATGGGAAGCAGCAAATTAATTCCTTGTTTTTCTTTGCTTGTGTGTGTGGCTTTTGCTTTACCTGTTAAACTGTCTTTATCTCACTCCATGAGTTTTCTACCTTCTATCCTTCCAATTCTCTCCTCCATCTTGCTGGGAGGGAGTAAGCAAGTGGCTGCATGGGGCTAGGACTTAAACCATGGCACAATTTTATTACATACAGCTGCTTGTAAGAGCAGAAGATAATATATTATTCTCTTTATACCAAAGTAATGCATAGAATATATATATCATAATTTGATATAATTTCAGTATTAAAATTTATAAACCCATATGTGTGCTGCTTATTATTGTTTTAACCATTAGGCTAGTATTCTGTTCCCTTGATGTATACAACAGTCCCATTTGGAATTGATAGATTCCAAACTGTTTAGACAGACAGTTAGGTAATTGATTATGGATTTTCTTTGAGTGATCTGAAATTTATTGCCTTAAAGAAGTCTGGGATGATTTTGGATTGCACATTCTTCAAGGACATTTTTCTCATATTGTGTCTATTACATAAAAAAATAAAATGTAATTAAATGTCCAGGAGCAAGTTGTACTTACAATCAGCAGTTTATAGAATAGAATCATATAATGTCTTGCATTGAAAGGGACATTAAAGATTGTATAGGTCCACCCCACCTGCCATGGACAGGGGCATCTTTCACTAGACCAGGTTGCCCATAACCCCATCCAGCCTGGCCTTGACCACTTCCAAGGATGGGGCATCCACAACTTCTATTGGCAACCTGTTCTGGTGCCTCACCACCCTCACAGTAAAGATTTTCTGCCTTATATCTAACCTAAGTCTACCATCTTTCAGTTTAAAGTCTTTACTTTGATATTTACAATCTGTGCTACAGCGCTTTTGCTGCTTTGTACGTAGTGAACCCATGGATAAAGGCAGAGGCAGCAGACACACCTTAGGATTCAGTAATTGGCCCTGGTATATTTGACAGTTTGAGGTGAGACTGGCAGAGTATGCATCACACGGAGGTTTGATGTTAAGCACAGTTGAACTGTAACCATACATAGTGCTTTTCACAGACTTAACCTTTTGTGCAGAATACGGATGCTGATACAGTGTAATGCTACATTCCCCGAAAACTACCAAGTGATGTGAATCAAAGAAATGCAAAATATTATTCTAAGTAATCCATAGACTCATAAGGTCCATTCTGAGGTCTGCTTTGCACAGATGCTAGATTTATGGCTGCAGTTCTTTGATTTGTAGTATTCAATTTCACGTTAATTCTGGATTTTGCAAAAAGGTCTCATTTTATTTTATTTTCATCAAAAAATTTCATGTAGTCTATTGTTCCCAAGACCTACACTGCTCATCTTTCAATACATTGTGTTTTCTCTCCAGCAGCAAAATTATTTGAGCAGATATAATCTTTTTTTCAGTCATTTTGCAGTAGGCAATCCGCTTGTGAAATGGTTGGTTTCTTCATTCCAAAGCCCAAGCCAAAGCAAATGTTTACGACATCCTATTAAAATGTGTACAATATCCTAATAATAAAATCTGGGAATCGAAACCTTAATGCTGATACAAAGCTTTTTTACATGTCATTCTGTTTGCCTGAATTATTAGATCTTTAGGTAGTGTTGCCATGCTTGACTCGTTAAATAATTATTTCTCTTGCTTTTAGCAGGATTCACTGTAAATCCATTTTAGTAGTTTTCCACGTATGAATTCAGTGTTTTAAATTGTAAATATTTTTGACATTCTTCCAGAAGTGTTGCTTCACAAACCTTTTTTCTATTTACTTAGCTCTCTTAAAGTAGGAAACGACTCATGCATCTTCCCAAAGTAAGGTTATGGTGACATAACTATTAATATATAACTGACATGATGTTATGTAGTTCAGGAAGATAAGAATTATTTGTTTTTTTTAAAAATTATTATTATTTTCCCTAGTCGTATTGTATGAATCCAAAATGTTTTTCAAAATTTGAAAATGATAACTTCAGTTTTACAAATATATATTTGTCATGCATTATATTAGTGTAAGAAACACTTTCCCAAGGATATATTTCATGAGATTCAATGAAAAAAAGAAAATCGACTTATTCTTGCTGCATCTCTCGGAGGGTAAGACATGTCACAAAAAGAGAATTGGTTCTTGGTATCTGTAAAGATCATGATCTGTAAGATCACGATTTGAAGCAAGACTAATGAATAAAGCTGCCTGAACCCTTTTCAGATTAACTGCAAGGATATGAGATTAAATCATAAAAACCAGAATGAAAACAACAAATTGAGAGTGAGCAGCTGCAGAGTTGCACAACAGCAGTATTTATTTTCCAGGCCAGCAGATACGGATAAAATATGTCCTCCTTCCCTCTTCCTGGGCTTCTCCTTTCAAAGCTACATTATTTTGTGGTTTATTTTCTATCAACCCTCTTATCTCAGAAAAAAAAGAGGATTTCTGTGGTGGTTTCCATATGCTATAGTGGGCTTGGAGAATGCATTTTGTTCTGAGTAAGAAATGTAAACAAGAATGTTGAGGCTAGTTGGGTCTGAAGACACAGGATTTCTGCATGTATTCCTTATGAAATATATAAATGTGCTTCCCACATATAAAGGCTTTATTCTGTTGTGTTACCAATGGCAGTAGCATTAAAGTGGTTTTCTGTGTCGCTTTGCTTCTGTTCTTGGAAGGAGTGCCAGTATGAGTTGGCAGT